GAGAGAGAGAGAGAGAGTCAAATCACACATGTGAGCTACTTAGATTGACTCATTGGGCTTTTAGCTGGATATGACAGAAGACTACATTTCTAAGCATCACTGATTACTAGATGCCACACAATCAAAACCTGGCCGTCGGGACATAAAAGGAGGCATTTATAGATCACTGATATAAGAGAAACCAATGTGTTCTTTGCTTACCCACTGCGACCTGGAGTTTTCTGTTATAAGCACATTTCCTCTTTACTAAAGCAATAGAGTGGTGTGTGTGTGTGTGTGTGTGTGTGTGTTGTGCATAGGGATGGGTGGGACCATCACCTTCTTGCTCAGTTTCTAAACAATATTCCAGTCCCCACTGTTACATCAAGTTCAGGAAGTCAAGGGGAGGAAGGAGGAGGCAGGAGGCCGCAAAGCTGGGGAGAAGGTGGGCAATGCTGAGCAGTGGGGCTGGATGCTCTATGCCATGGCTCTCACGGAGATCCTTGCCAAATCATGTGGGGTGACAGTATCCGTGGCCCAGCTCTGCCTCCAGTCTCTTCTTGTGTCTCTCTGAGCAGAAAAAGGCCCTGAAGAGTGGGGCAGAGAGCGGTAGCAGGAAGCCAACCAGACTTCATGGCAAGCATGAGGAATGTGCAGCGAGGGAACCCATGAAGGATCCGGGGCACAGGGTCTGGTTATGTCTTTGGGAGGCATGTGCCCAGAAGAGAGGGAACACTGTAGACCACAGGGGTCAGGATGTGGGAAGAGCTGGAATCACTAAGCAGGATTCACTCTTGCAGGAGTCACTAAGAAAGGATCAGAAGTTGCCCAGAAGGCACTAAATCGTTTTGTTTACACCTCATCAAGCTGGGATACTGAACAAGCTAGTTGCCTGGCCCACCTGAACCCATGGCTCTCCACAAGAGGACATTCTTGGCTGTCTAGCTCCCAGCCCTCCTGTTCCCGTTAGTGTGTATCTTCCCCACTGAAGTTTCTCTGGTATGTGAGGTACCAGGACCTCCCTAGAGTAGAAACCAGGGGCCACCCTTCCTCTTGCCAGCAGAGGGCAGTCTTCTCAAGGCCTGGATGATATCAGACACCCAGTACACAGTGAGGGACACATGGGACTGTCTGTGGTCTCTGCTCATCACCTGTTTCTTTTGCTAGCCTTCTACCTCATCACTCATTTCTGTTGCTTACACCCAAGGAGCTGACTGATGTGGGTGACCCTCACAAGGTCACACTGTAGTACATGTGCACCCTGTGACACACCCTGGGTACCAGGCAAGGATGTCAGTGCCATGGATGCTCCTCTTCCAGGAAAAGAATGTGCAGTGGGATGGAAGAGTAAAGACTTGGCACCTCTAAAAGTGTGAAGTCATGAGATGGCCCTAGACTAGAGAGAACAAGCCACATCACCAGAGCCAGACGGAGCCAGGTCCTTCCACTCAGCCAGCAAAACCTGCTCAGTTCAGGTGACACCAAGGACAGACAGGAATGAGAGGACACCCTTCTGCTAGGTGTGTAAGCCCTGGAGAAAAATCTAAGAGCATCCAGTTGATTTGAAGGCATGCCGTCTCACGTCCAGTGGTTCAGCATTTGAGCCTCACTACAGAATGGCTGTGTGATTGGTTAGTTTCATATTGATTTGAAGCAGGATAGAAAAAAATATGGGGACAGGGGAGAGGGAAAACCCCTCTCTCTGGGGTCTAGCTGAAGACTCAACAGCTGAGAAGCATTAATCTCAGGTAATCAACAGTGTCGACTTGAGGCCTTCTCTCCTTCCAGATGGAAACCTGAAAATTTCTAGAACCTCCTTGTGCAGCCCTAGTGGCTTGTGGTTTTACTTTATCAGAATATAACCCCACCCAAGAGACACCCCAGAATCTCAATGATCAACAAAGGGACTAGACATACTGGAGAGTCAGATACCTTATAAGCCTGTTCAGCAGGGACTAAGGAGATGGTTTAATGGACAAGAGCACTTGCTGTCAAAGCCAGAGAACCTGATTCAAATCTTCAGCACCCACAGAAAAGCTATGACTGGCCATGTAACTTCAGCACTGAGGGGCAGAGCCAGGCAGATCCCAGGAGCTTGATGGCTGGCCAGCCTAGCCAATGGTGAGCTCCAGGTTCTGTGAGAGACACTGTCCCGAAAGGTCAAAATGGGAAGTATTAGAAGAAGATACTTGATCTCCTCTTCTGCCCTCTGAATGGATGTGCAACACACGCACACATGCACACATATACATACACACACACACACACATAGATACACACACATACAGAGAGACACACACATACATACACATACCCACGTAGGTACATACACAGAGACATGCACATACACATACACACATATATACATGGACAGACAGACACACAGAGAGACACACACACATACATACATACATACTCGTACACACATAGATACATATACACACAGAGACACATACACATATATAAGCACAGACACAAACACGCATACACATACACACACAGACACACACAAAGACACACACATACACATAAACACACATACATCTATAGACACACACAGACACAATACACAGAGGCTCCCAAAGTCCTTTATATAATCACCATTAGGACAATTCAGTGGGACTCTTCTTTGAGAAGCTTCCCCCCTCCAGTGCTCTTGGGAGTCATAATCTTTCCCTGAGTGCCTTTCTATTTTTACTAAACTCCAGCTCCACTTCATACTAGATTGTCCTGAAATGCTTTTCTGTGTTGAAGCCAAGGGTCTGGTTTTATCTAAGTTGAGAGTAAGGGAACTTCTTGGATGCCAACAGTGATTGTGGGAGATTGTTCCTCTATCCCACAATAGCTGACAACTCTAAAGGAGGAGAGGTTTACCTTGGCCCAAAATTTCAAACCAGTCCCATCCATGATGGCGGGGAAGTCACGGTGGAGCAGAGCAGTTCATGACTGTGACAGCATGTGGCAAAGGCTGCTCGCATCACAGTGGACCAGGAAGCAGAGAGGAAGACAGCAAGTTGGACTAAGGAAATTTTTCAAAGGCTACCTTTAGGGACAGACTTCTACCAGACTGACCCCATCTCCTTACAGTCTGATGGCCTCTATAGTTTCTCTAGCCATAGAACAGCTTTCAAAACACCAAGCTGTGAGAGACACTTCAGATCGCACCAGGAGGTCCAGGATAAAGCTTGAGGATCTGCTTTTCTGCTTTTCTACCAGGTGATCTGCCACCACTTGTCAGCAGACCTCACTTGGGAAACCACAAGGCCAAGAAACCCTTGTGTATCTGTGCCAAGAGACCCTGACAGAGATGTTTACTGCAGGGTTCACAAAAGAGAACCCGCTGTGGGAAGAACAGATAAACACGTGGTGAGGTAGTCATATGCCACAGCCGTACGCCACACACACAGCAGGCCCATGATAAACGGTTGAGGCAGAGTTAGTTATCATTGTGGACGCAGCTCAAAGCCAACACGGAGGAGAAAGAGCAAGCTGTGTGGTGAGTCACGTAGAAGACACCATCTGTATCAAGTTCAACAGCAGAACCATGATTGGTAGCATTGCCTATACATGAGGAATCTGAGGAATGAGACATATAAGGGGAGCATGCATGGTTAACTCAGGATGGGGGCACCTCTGGGGCAGAGGTGGGGAGGAGCTGGGAAAGAAGAGAGACATCACTCATATTTATCATGTTTAATTTGAAGCAAATGTGGACATGGAGAGATCTGGTCAAGTGGCTGATGGGGGTGGTGGGCGGGAAGACGGCTCAGTCAGTGAAGTCCCTGCCACAAAGGCAGGAGGGACCAAGTTCTGACTTTCAGCAGCCATACAAAAGGCCAGCAGTGTAGAGCATGGTTGTAATCCCAGTGCCAGGGAGGTCGAGACATGGGCTTGCTAGCCAGGCAGGCTAGTCAAATTAGAGAGCTCCGGGGTCACCAAGAGACTCTGATAATAAATAAATGAACAAATAAGTAAGATATCGAGTGACCGAGGCAGTGTTGACCTCTGGCTTCCACATGCTCATACACAGAGGTGCACACAGCACAAACATATATATATACACACCAGAATGTTTATTATATTCATTTTTAAAGAAGAAGAGAATTTAGCTTCTCGGGTGCACTGGAGCAGAGGAGCACTACGGTTTTAAAAAACGATTATTATTTTGTGTGTATGACTGTTTTGCCTGCATGTATGTTCACGCACCACGTGCATGCCTGGTGTCCACTGAGGTCAGAAAAAAAGCACTGAATTCCCTGGGACGACAGTTAACAGATATTTGTGAGCTTGCCACGTAGGTGCTGGGAATTGAACCAGCGTCTCCTAGAACAGTGGCAGGTGATCTTCAGCACTGAGCCATCTCTCTAGTTCTGTAGGGATACATTCATCCTTCCCCATTTCCTCCAGATCCCCTCCCCACGCTCCATCCTGCCCTCAAACTTAGGCAATAGGGAGGGAAGGAAACACATTCTGGAGGAGGGGCTTCAGGAGCAGAGAGGCCCAGCCTCGGGCCCTGGGCTACTCACCTCCCTCATTCACTCCCCTTGTCCTCAGGAAGGGATTGCTGAGTTTTAACAGATTTGCCTAAGAAAGGTCATTTCCCAGGCACCCTTGCACTGTGTGGTCATGTGTCTAACCCTGGTCAGAAATGAGTTGGGCATGCCATGGGCTAAGAAGGCCTACACTACTCTTCTCTCCTCTGACTTCTTTGTCAGAGTAGCAGTTTCAAGGGTGGGGGCCTTGGTGATCCCTGTGGCAGAGGAATCTTGAGAAAGACACTAGTACATTCACCTTACAAACCCAGGGCTTTAGTGGGAGGAGGAGAAAATCTCACACACCTTGTTTAGG